CAGACGACCAAGTTTGGCTTGGCTTCGGACACCTTTAACCGAATATGGTGCTGGAAAGACAGACGGTGGTCGATCCAGACACCGAGCACCCGTACGACTTTAACAATGTCGATGGGTGTACCATCAAGGGACAAGGCATGGTCCCCGATGGTCCTGGGCAGGAGTGCCTGGCTCTTAGCCGGCTCGTAGGACACTCCCGCTTTGGCGGCCCAAGCCAGTAGTAGAGCTTCTGCTGACTGCCACCGTTTAACCAGGGACGGGCCAGTTCCACCGGATACCACCACCGTTGTATCATCCGCATAGAGGGTCAAGCTCACGCCTTTCGCCTCCAATTTTGCGAAGTCATCTACAAGCGGCAGGGTGGATAGAAGGAACAAGAAGGGGCCCAGGGCACTGCCCTGAGGCACCCCTCGCTGAAGTTCCAGAGTGGCCACGTCTGCACCATAGACAGCCGAAACACTCTGGGCCCTTAAGTAGCCTTCTACAATGCTCACTAGATAGCGTGGGACATCGTATTGGGCCAGGGTTGCCAGGATGTGGCTGTGTTTTACCGAGCTAAACGCGTTTTGCACGTCGAGTTGGACAAGTGCAATAGGCGCGCTCTTACTCCTTTTTCTGCCAGCCCTGAACGCTTCGACTACGCGCAGGACAGCAGAGTCAACCGATTTGCCCTTGCAGAATCCATGGACAATCGGAGAGTCCAATCGCTTCTGGATCTGCGGGCAAGATGCAAGCCGTTCTACTATGAGACGTTCGAACAGCTTGCTACCTGAACCGACCAGGCAGATTGGCCTCCAGCCGTTAGGCTTGGTGGGGTCTCTGCCGGCCTTATGAATGAAGATCCCTTTGGACGACTTCCATCCATCGGGATATATACCAGTCTCAAGGGCTTCAGTGAACTGGGTACACCAGTTGTCCTTCAGCACCTCGAGAGTATCGAGAATGACGCCATTGGTCACATCATCCTTTCCAGGGGCCGCGCTTCTCCGTAAACCATTGGCTGCCTCTCTGAGTTCAGAGTAGGTGACCGCCGGGATGGGATCAGTTTGCGGCGGTAGAACCAAGGCATTGACCTCCGCAGCCCTTTCGGGATCACGGGGGAAGAGCCTACGTAGGAGGAAGTCCGCTGATTCACTCCATGCGGGCATA